GAAGCCAGAGGTGAAGGAGGCCTCAAAGTTCTGTGTGACCCTGGTCACCAAAGCTCCTCACTTGGAAAAAGGCCACTTCAACACCCCTTGTGATACCACTTCACTTTAGTCCACACTGGGTGATGCCAGCTCCTAAAGATTTCTTGGCTGTACTCACCTGCTCCTTAAATTGCTCTTGTGACAAACAATCGGTCACGTCCACACAGCCCAGGAGGCACCCAGAAGGATAATCACTTGGAAATTCCACATCTGCATAAAAAGAAATATCTCTTCATCCCCACATGCACACCCGGCGTTCTCTAACCTCCACGCACCCTCCGCTTCCCTCCACCTGCTTCTATTTCTCGAGGCATAAAATTAAGCCCTTTGCTGTTGAAAGCTATGGCAGAAGTTTGTGCTCGGCGCAAGCTATCAGCAAATAATATAAAAAATTCGAAGAGAGTGGTTCACCTTTCTGGAGCAGCATTTTGTAGGTAGTCTCCAGTTCTGAGATCTCCTGTGGGGAAGGTCTTTTAGCAGTAGCTGCGATCCACAAGCGCCCTCTGTGCGGTGTGTACCACGTCCTGCCCTCCACCCTAGAGAACAAAGAACACAGGACTTCAATTTGAGCAGAAATTTAAGGAGAAAATTAATGCCGCAAGTGGAGTATGTCCTCACGGCTTCAGAGCAACAGCAAAAAAGGACATCAAGCCCCTGCAGGGACAGCAAGATGCCAGACACATGCGTAGGACGATCTGCTCACACGATTCTCTCACAAGCTCAAAAAGTTCCGCGTTAAGTAAGCACATGATTTAGGGATCCCGGTCTGTTACTGCTCCCTGAGCTACACCCCTTTACCTTTTGATTCCTTTGACGAGCAAGGAAGCCCAAGGCTGGTGCACACTGAGGCACCAACCGTCATCCGAAATCTCCTGCAACTCTCGATCTTGAATCCGCAACCTGTTCCGCTCCGAGCCAGGCGCGTTTCCGACATCCGTGGAATGGACAACTTTCCTGTGCGGGAGTGAACCAGTTTGGTCCACCCACTTCAGAGGGTTGAAAAGAAACAGAAGAGAAAGAAAGGTTAGCATACACCAAGGACACCACGGTTAAAGCAATGATAGGACAAGGAGCAAGAGATACAAGCTGGAACTTAGAAAGTTCCACAAAAATATTAGAAAAAACTTTTTCTCTGTGAGGGTGACAGAGCCCTGGCACAGGCTGCCCAGAGAGGTTGTGGAGTCTCCTTCTCTGGAGACATTCAGAACCCATCTGGACACGTTCCTGTGTGACCTACTGTAGGTGATCCTGCTCTGGCAGGGGTTTGGACTAGATGATCTTTTGAGGTCCTTTGCAGCCCCCAACATTCTGTGATTCTGTGATTCTCTGAGAGTGGACTTAGAGGGTAGAGATTACGCCCTTTGGAAATCGGAAACCTTGCAAATAAGGTTTTATTAACAAAGATGAAAAAGTGACATGACCTTAGGCTGCCTCTCCCCAAGTTAGTCAGTACTCTGGGAGAAATCACACACCAATACTGACCAAAGGAGGAGGCTGAAGAAGCCGGGGATTCAGTAAAACTCCGGAACTCAGAGCTGTCTTTGCTTCTGGGCTCCTGGCTGGCTTGCTCAGTGTGCCGCGATTAATGGCTTCAATGGTTTCATCCAGCCTGCAAGCACAAACAGACGTGAAAATTCCCCGCTTATCCTGGCAGCGTCTTCCTTCTCCCCGCGCCAACGCTTCTGACTTTCAAGGGTTCAGCTTGCTTGACTTTCCTTCCGCTCGCTCTTCCAGATTCACTCGGATGACTCTCTTTAATGATTTTCCCCAGTTCTCCTGTACCTGCTGTGGTATTCAGCCATGCTGTCATCTTCCTCCACGATCTGCCTGCCAGCGAAGTCAATAGTGATTTTTTTGGTGAGCCGTGAGGCGTGGCGCAGCTCCCGCAGCTCCTGCTCTCTCTTCTGGAGGGCCTCCCTCTCCTGCTTTGAGAGCCACTGGTTGGAGTCGGTAGCGAAGTAATCCGACTCATCGTCGATGACCTGGGTTCGCCGCACGCTGCAGAGAAACAGCAAGCAGTAGAAGATGGGCCCAAGCAGGATGGCGATGGCCTCACCGGTATTATCTTACCTCGTCCTGTCAAACTCCAACAACTTGTCTTTGTGTTTCATGGCCATTTCCAGGCCCGCTTTGAGTCGAGCTTCTTGTCGAGGCAGCAACTCTTTGCTGATGGCATCCAAATTCCCCGAGCTCTCCGCACCTGCGAGAAAGGAAAAGGGAAAGGGAAAGGGAAAGGGAAAGGGAAAGGGAAAGGGAAAGGGAAAGGGAAAGGGAAAGGGAAAGGGAAAGGAAGAAAATATCACAGCTCTGCTGACAGTTGTTTAAAGCCCAGTCTTGGCAGGCCTGGCTGCATAAGCACTGGCCAGGGAGCTAAAAGAACTTTTTGCCAATATCAGCATGTTTTCAAAACAGGTTCAAGCCCTGATTTTCCCTCCTTTCACAGACTCCTTCCTCCAAAGAAGAAACATTTAAGTACTAAGGTAACCACATCCAGGGAGCATTTAGAGTGAAGGGCTCAGTCTTTTGATTCTCCTGAAGTACGTCGGGATCTCAGGATTTATAAACTGACTCTGGGATCCGCTGTTACTCTCAAGGGCTTATAGGATCGCCTAGCATCTCAGCAGCTCTTAAAGCGACATCTCACACCAAGGCCTTGAGTAAATATTTCCCCAGCTCTTCAGCAAAGTATATTTTTTGATCAAGACCTTGGCTACATTTCAGCTGAACTCAAGCAAACGTGTCCATAACGCACAAGTTCTTCACAATTTCTTCGCTGGGAGACCGGGTGTTATTTCCTCTCTCGCTTTCCTTGGCTCTGTTCCTATTTTTAGCTCCCAAGATAAGCGTTAAAGACAGGAAGAGCCATTAGAAAACATGAACCACTGCCTGTCCAGCCCCAGCAAATCAGACAGCAGTGCTTCATCTTCCACAGCACACATTCCACATGAGGCTTATCCTAATTTTCCAGGATGATCCAGCCCAAGTAACTGATTTACAAATGCCTAACGAGCAGCCTCGGGGCCTCCAGTTGAGGATATTAGACACGACACTCGTGTCAAAGGGACACACATGCACTCACTCCTACATGACATCAAGGAAAGCGGTGCACCGTAAGGTACAGGGGTGCTCCTGCCATCATGTAACCAAGGAGATACGTTCTATCACAGGCCTGTAATCACCGCTTACCTGCCATGAGCTTCTTCAGCAACTTCTGGCTCTTGTTTGAGTCCCGCTGGAGAATGTCCTGCTCTTCTTTGGTGCACACCTACAAGGAGAAGGAAAATAATACATAAAATTAAGGCGTAGGAATGACATAGGAGGTGTTCAAGGCCAGGTTGGACAGAGCCTTGAGCAGCCTGATCTAGTTGAGAGGCGTCCCTGCCCATGACAGGGAGGTTGGATTAGATGATCTCTAAGGTCCCTTCCAGCCTAGGCCATTCTATGATTCTATGACTCTATGACACCCCATGCTCAACCAGCCATGGGTAAGAGCTCAGGGTAAGCATTTAAAGTGGCTAAGGTTTCCCACACCTCCTTCCCTTCGGCGTTATTTCCACTGGCTGATGCGCCTCCTCGTAAGAGAAACAAAAAGAAAAAAGAAAAAAACAAACCAGACAGGTGCTACTAACCAGAGAGCCGCAGAACAAGCAGGGCCCGGAGCCCTCCTGCTCACAGACGATGCGCCCGCAAACCAAGCAGTTGTTGACGAGCTTGTGCTTCTGGCCCAGGCACTCACAGGCATGCCGCCCAGGGATCAGCACAGCCAGCTTGTCTTGCCCCTCCTTGGTGTACAGGTTGACATACTTGGGCTTCTTCTTCGAGGAATTGATGCTGACACTGCTGTTCTCCTGTGCCTGAGAAGAGGAAAAAAATAAATAAGCAAACCTTCTCGAAGCTGTAACGTAAATCCTTCTCCTCATGTCATGATGCGGCATCAGTGATTCTGCAATTTACCTCTCTGAGTCTCAATCAGAACAGAATGAACAGAATGAAGCCAACTGCTACCATTTCTCTGGCAATACCCAAAACCAGACACTCTGAGAAGCAAGCACGACACACTCCAGGCACGAACCAGCTTTGTAACACAAGATGAGACTTCACAAAGTCTTCAACCATTGCAGCCTCCCTGCCACAGAAACCTTGATTTAAAACCATAAATTTGAGTTCCACTGTTCATTCTGGTGCAATCTGGACTCTCAGGGTTTGGAAATCAGGGTTGCATCTGGCTAAATTGCAGAATTTAATCCTGTGAGGAGAATATAATCCAGATTGAAGGACTCTCCTGAACGTCTACCAATGGAAATGAAGTTCACCTTTCTGTGGAGTAAAATCCTGGTGGTCACTATCTGCTGATTATTTCCCTCTCCATTATAGACACAAACATATGCAATTGTTGTCCCCATCCTCACATCATCTGCCCCAGAGCTGTGTGAATCCCGGAAAAACTCACACAGTGCATGAGCATGGCCTGTCAGCACCCAGCGACACCCAGCCCAGCCTCGAGGACAAGACACACTCACCTTGGCTAGGTCAATGGGGGTTTTGACATCCTCGATGGGGGCGCTGGGCTCAGCGTACACAGGCGTCTCCTGCTTGTTTCTCCCTTTGCGTTTCCCCTTTTTCACTTGGTCTCCAGGCCGAGGCACCTCCAAAGTCTCTGGAAGAGTAAGCAAACATAAAGAAAGGCTGGGTAACTACCAGCAAGAGAAAGGCATCCCCGAACTCTTACTCAGTGAGTGAAAATGGGTTTTACACTGTTGTGACAAACAGGAACAGAGCCAGTCCCAGGCCTTTGTGGCAGGTAATAAAATAAACAGAATAAAATAAACAGAATAACTGAGATAAGGTCGTTTGAGAGTTTAACTCTTTTGTCCCTGTACTACTCACCGTCTTTTTTCCGATATGCTGGCAAAGGCTCCGACGGCAGCTGGCAGGATTTCCGCCACCTGGCCAAGAGCTCTTCCACAAACCAACTTTTCTTCCCGTCAGTCCCCTGAATGAGGTCGACGACATACTCCCGTATCTCCTCCTCGTTTGTTATCGACAAGATGTACCTGCAAGGGGACAGGACGGAGAAAAACGGATAAGAGGGCTTTTGTTCTGAGGCAACCAATGGTCCCGTCGCACATGTACGCAATTTATCTCTCCCCTTCAGAGGAGATTTTTGTAGAGGCTGTGATAAGAAATGGGTTTATCAGTCAACTTTTGAGACAGGCACTTCAGGAAGTGCCTTTGAGGACGTTTCACTGAAACAAAACAGAAGGTAAATAATCTTTCTCCGCACATTCCCTGCACGTCGGCCCCTGGAGCCGAGGG